AACTACTAATAATACTCAGGCCCAGTGGCGTAGGTATGAGCAGTGCATTATTGGGGGCTCGTTCAATAGGTCTAATCTGGTCTAATGATCTAAAAATATAACTTTAAAAAATCCTATTTAAACTTTAAAAAGACCCTTCAATATTAGGTTTTAGATGCTATAATATTGATTATAGGCTACTCATTACAATTTACCTATTACCAATTTCCCACACGCTGCAAGTAAAAAAAAAACCCAACAAAACAAGCCCTTATATTATGATGCACTAATGTACTTTTTGAAATCACATTTCTAAAGCAATAAAACATCGTCACGCACATTTGTGTTTGTGGTATTTTAAAGTTGGTTCAACTATTATTGTATACGTTTTTAAACACTTCAGATCATCATAATTTCACGAATACATTTTACATTCACTTCACTGCAAGTAGGTCGATGACTGTTGTATTATTAAATGGTAATTGTTATTATCGTGATGGAATAGACAATACCTGGATTTGCGTCAGGAGAATCAATTAGGAGCCTATATGTATTTGCCAAACCTGTCGTGAATATGTATTGAATACTCAGTGCGTGATGCACTAATATACTTTTTGAAATCACATTTCTAAAGCAAATATCGTCACGCACATTTGTATTTGTGGTATTTTAAAGTTGGTTCAACTATTATTGTGTACGATTTTAAACACTTCAGTATCATCATAACTTCATAAATACATTTTAGATTCACTACACTTCAAGTAGGTCGAGATGACTGTTCTGTTATTAAATGGTAATTGTTATTATCGTGATGGAGTAAACAATACAGTACCTGGATTTGCGTCAGGAGAATCAATTAGGGGCCTATATGTTTAATTTTGTCCAACTTGTTGTGAAAATGTACTGAATACTCAGTGCGTGTGAAAGTTTTTCTCCAGTGCGACTCGAACCCAGTTCTCCAGATTATAGTCTGGCATCATACCTCTAGACCACCGAGCTTGCACCTGATTTCCAGGGTTGAATTCGAGCCCAAGTAAGCAGCAAGTTCTATTTTTGCAAGTTTTTTCACACGCACTAAGTAGGCCTATTCAGTAGGCCTACATTTCACGACGGGTTGGACAAAATTGCACCTACACATGTTCTATTGATGTTATCAATATTATAATATATCATAGATTCATAAAATGCCTAATAGGCCCTAAACGATCACATATAGGCCTATATAACTTGACCATAGTTTGTTCTCAATATTCTTGAATTTGTAAAACAAAATATTTTTTAGATATTTCTGAAATGCCGTATCTGTTTTAAAATATCTCAGAATGTATGAGCATTAAGAGTTTCCCACTAAAGGCTCTGTCTCTAGGTCCGATCAGGTGCTTTTTTACCAATTTTACCTAGGGCAAGGCAGTTATCTATGCCATAGTTACCAACCGTCACGCATCGTGCGGGACCATGGAACGCCGTTAGTATCTTTGGTTATGTGCAAACACTCTATTATGTGCAATCGCCATGACGTTATTTGGTTTGATCATTATGTTATGTGGTTTGGTCATTATGTTATGTGGTTTGGTCATTATGTTATGTGGTTTGGTCATTATGTTATGTTGTTTGGTTATGATGTTATGTGGTTTCTCATTATGTTATGTGGTTTGTTCATGATGTTACGTAGTTTGTTCATGAAGTTATGTGGTTTGCTCATTATGTTATGTGGTTTGCACATTATGTTACGTAGTTTTGACATGACGTTCGGACGTACATGTGGAGTATGCGAAGAAGTGTGAATAAGAAGACGGATGTACAAGTAAGACTATATCAAATTTCATTTTAAATTGGCCGAGAGCGAGCGGGAAGCGATTTTTCCCCGTACGAAACATTTGCATGAAACTCCACTCGGGTCGTCTCGGATTGATTCGACTCGAGTTTGATATACGAACAAGAGCAGGCACTTCGCAATGTCGTGACGCTCGAGTATTCTATTACCTTTACTGTACTGTTCTCTATTTACCCATGGAGGCCTAAAGTCTTACCAATTTATGGGGTTGGCTACGTCGTCTGTTCTAACTGTGAGCTTCTTGTATGTTTGTTATGTACTACTACAACTACAACAGCTAGTACCCCCTCCTATAGTAGTACCAGTGGTAAATAGGTACATCTATCGAAGGCTAGAGCAAAAGAGGCTAAATAATGGGCCTAGTGGAACGGCCTAGTTCCAAGCTGAGTTAGGTCCTACCTGCTAGCGCCCCCCCCCCACCTTCCGCCAGACTAGGCCCCTAGGTTCCTAGGCCTGACACAACAGTCACGCTTCGCATGCCATTGACTGAAATTTTGGGGAAAAAAAATTCAAACATGAAATTAAAATGGGACAGTGAGTAAAAAAATATTAAATATAATAAATTAAATATATCAATCCGGCATTAATGAATTTTGCCTAAGCCTTGTAATGTAATTAATATTAAATAATATTAACAATAATAATTATAAATAACCATATATAATTTCGCCATTAATTAACTTAGCCTAAGCCTTGTAATCAAGAAGCACCTACAGTATACTATATTAGGCCTATAATCCAAACTCCCTGCCTTAATTTTAGTAATTCAGGCGGAAGCAGGTCAACTCGGCCCCAAGTCAACACGGCCCCCATGTCAATTTGGCCCCAGGTCAACTCGGCCCAATGTCAACCAACCCCAAGTTAACATGGCCACAAGTATGTATTGTTATTATTATTAGTTATTCTATATATTTTTGTATAATTTTTATTAATATCATTTTAATATTATTTTTATTAATGCAGATTTAATTACTGTAAGTGCATGTAAATGAAACGAAATAACAAAGGCAACGATTTAAAAACACTTTGCATTCAAATTTCTTGACGCAGGGTTCCCGGAACTCCGCCCTCAGCTGCGAGTGCGAAGCACAACTCAGGGTCAAAAGTGGAACGTGAAATTTGGATATGGTTTTGTAGTCAGATTTGCGAGAAAAACTTCAGCTACCCGTATTTCTCGACTGAGACGTCACTGGGAGCTGTAATTTGTATGGCAAGGAGATTGAGCAACCCTTCATTCATATTAAGGGAATTTACGCCCAGAAACTTTGTAGTTATTAATATTTTGGTTATAATAGAAAATATTCATTTTTTGGTGACGTCATGCTCACATTAGTTAGCATGCATACGTCATAAGCTAGATACCTCACCTTTTCCTGGTAAGGCAAACTTTCCCGGCGTGCTTTTATGGATAAACAAACACCACTGCTTTGCACATGGATGCCTTTGCCCAAGCCAGGGCTAAGAGCCGCATTGTTAGCATTGTATAATACTTA